TCAACGGTCAAATGATTCGTTCGCTGATGCTGTGAAGCGATCGTTCCGAAACTGAACAATGTTTTGCTCGATTCGAACATAGAAATGGACTCGTCATGATGATGATGCTGCTTGTGCTCTATACAGTACTCACAGGAATATTGGCAAATTCAAGAAGACAAAACTTGCACGATAAAACTGTTTATAGTGATTAACACTAAAGAAAAATAAACTGCAACCAGATAGACAAGAAGACAATAGCGATTTATGCGTTTCGAATGTGCGCAAATGAAATTCCGTTGATGATCAAGCAAGAGATCAAAATTCGACGATGCATCCAATAGGAGAACTCACGTATTTTCTGAACACAACTGAGGTCGTCTGGATGTGCGATTCGACAGCGAATGTCGTTGAGCAGAGTTGCTCAGCACCCGCGTAATTGCAGCTAAAGATTCCTCTTGCTGATTGCCAAAATCCAAAGGTGTACAGAATTTCGTGGAATGTGACGTTGACTGGTAACGTACATCTTCGTCGTTCTCATCAGTTGCGCTCGACATTACACGAGAGCAACCACCTCGTAAATGGTCACTGTCGCGGAATTCTCGGTAAATCGTTAGTTGTCGTTATCGATAATCTATTGAATTCGGTCACAAGTCAATTGGAAACGCTTTATTACGTAAGAACACAATGTTTTCGCGCAATTCATAAGTACTCAATCCTCAAAAAAAAAATCTGAGCAGTGATCTAACTTTGAGAGCTTACACGCAAACAAATTCATGACAGTGTGACCAATGAAGTCTGCACCTGATATTCTGATGCTGTGCTCGAGATTAGCACTGCAAAGGGCGAAACAAAATGTGGAAAACACCAGAATATTCGCCTGAAACAATTCTCGATATTTTGTGGACGACTTGATACGTTCAATTGAAGGCAATTCTTGCTGGGTGCTGCTGTATTGATGTTGCTGGTATGAATGCAGAAAAGAATTCAAAATGGAAGTGTAAATGATGGTGATGCTGATTTGCAGATAACAATTATAACAGTTGTGTTCTTTTTACACTTCATTCAAGTACTTCACTTCGAGAAATTTCAACGTAAACTCTAAACGAAATTGTAAAAACACGCGAACTATTTTGGGTGAACACAAGTTGTAATGTTTAAGATGATTACATTAGTACTTTTCAAGAGTATTCGCAGATTAATCACTGATCATAAATGAGGGCAATTTACATCACTTCGTACATCAATCAATGATCGTAAGCTATCTTCAGTAACCAATGTTGCCTTATCTCTTCAATACAACCGTCATCTTCTGCGACTTAAATGTAAGCGAAATCGTCCGTTAAGTAGAAACTGAATAGTTAGCTTCATTACTATATTCCACTGATTCATTGATTCAGTTGAACGATTCAAGCTGATACATACGAAATCTAAGATATATAAGGACCTATTAGATGCGAAATATAGTTCGAAATAATAATGCTCACCAATCTCACAAACAAACGTTCCTTACTCTTATATCAACCTCAATGAGCAGTAATCTCAAAGAAGCACGAATAGTTAGCTTCATTACTATACTCCACTGATTCGTTGATTCAGTTGAACGATTCAAGCTGATACATACGAAATCTAAGATATATAAGGACCTGTTAGACGCGAAATATAGTTCGAAATAATAATGCTCACCAATCTCACGAACAAACGTTCCTTACTCCTAGTATATCAATCTCAATGAGCAGTAATCTCGACGAAGCACGAATCGATTGCTGTCATCAATGCACCACATAATTATCGAAAATGTCAAATTGACGAGACAGACATACATCAACTAAAGGATATCAATTGAAAGTACGTTTGACTCTTGTCAAGGGCCCTAGCAAAGTTCTCGAAAGCTATTCACTGAAATGAATTTAGAATAATGATGGTGGTGAGGCGTGAGCTTTGGAATTAAGGTGAAGCAGTCAGGAATTGTGGTTGGAGTAAATGCTGAATTGCATGATAAAGAACTGAATGAATGGACGAATAAGCGTTGATTGGTGTCTGTAACTTTGATATAAAAGTACGAAAACTCAGATGAATGTGCTTGAACGAATGGTGATGATACTGCGCAATTTTGCTCGTTGCTCTCCCTCGCCATTAGACGAAGGACGTATCCACATCATCGATCCATCCACCTATCTAACTCTGCTTCATACAGCTGTTTCTTCGGAAAGCAGCTTGCTCATATACATATGACTCTAAGCACAATGGCAACTCGCCAATCCATCAACTAGCTTCTCAAAATTGGATAGGATATTCTACTTGCATGCCGGCCGATTCGTTTGTGTGTAGGCAACAATTTGGCTGTCTAGAACCAATTTATCACTAAACAATGGTGTTTGATCATGTACTGAGAAAGGCATGCATGAAGCAAATTACTAGAATGAGCATAGGTTCATTTTCATGTGACTCAATCGCAGAATTCGATTACATCTTCAGCGACAATTTCAACACTTAGTTTCGCAGAAATAATTCGGAACATTCCGTCAATATATGATCGTGCCCAATGGAAAAAGGCATAAATGTGTCAGAGGAGGTTCACATCTGGAATGTACAAATGCAAAGAGGAGTACGCCTGAAGTGACAAGACATCTGTAATGAGACTAATTATTAAATGTCACAACACCTACGTAGTTGAATTAATGTCATATTGATGATGCTCAGAACGCTATGATGCTTCCGAGAAGAAACTGGAAATCGAAAAGTAAACAACCAACCATGCAATCGTACAATCCCACATAGAATTTTTTGATCGCCATTTCGTTCACCAATAGAAATTTAAACGTTGGCGATGGTCTTCATTGTAGCAACTGATATCGAAATTTATCTCAAGCACTTAAAGCATCCTAAGCATTCATCTCAAGCATAGATCGAAAATGGAATGGAAGCAAAATGTTAGGGGCCAGTCACTTGAGTTGCAAAATTCAGAGTTCATCAGATGTGATGTTTGTGTTGAACAAGTTTTTTAGATGCATCACGATGAACTTTAATCTTCAGATGATGCAAATAACTTTCTCAAAAACAATTCTGTTATTTGCCATTGAATTTCATGTTTTCAAAGAGTTCATTTGATGTGATGTTTAATGCAAACATCTTATATGACTGCAATGACAAAATGAAACAAATCATAAAATGGGAATTGGTTTTTTTTGGCATAAACACGCTCACTTCATCGATTTTATTGGAGTTTTTTTTACAGTGAACGAACAACAAACAAATTCAGCACATTCTCACTCATTAGCACTTATCATTTCAACAAGTTTATCACCAA